AATTATTCTCTCTAACGAGATTCGATTATTACGAATTTCATCCGTAACTCTCGATTAAGGGGGGAGGTGTTACGTCCAGATGAGAACCTTCAATCACACTTCACACTTTTATTATAATTTTGTCGGAATTTACTTGGAATCGGAAATTACTTGAGCAATTACTCATCTGAAGGATTTGTTAGGTTAGGTTAGGTTAATTATTATGTTCTTGTTGAACAAGAAAGTAAAAATTTAGAACAATTAATACTGCAATGTATTGTATCGCACTAGATCACTTTAGTGATTGCTTTAAGATATTGAATGAGGGCTTTATAAATATTAAATCTGTAATACTTTTTCAGTTTAAGCATATTTAGCCTTTCATTCAGGTAAATATTAATAATTATTACAAACTAATCACATATAAGTTTTAATAAAATTGTTCATACTAGATTCAGACAATAGTTTTATTTTTATCTATAAAACATTCAACCATAAATTTCATAATAGCATATTAATTAAAATATATATCTTTTAAAAAATAAATTACTTTGATTTTGTAATTAAACTAAATACGTCACTGATTGTAAACGTACAAATGCTTTCAAATCTTTGTAATAATATTATGATAGACTGTTTCAGTGTTTTTTCCAATTTATATTTGTAGGAAACATATTCATTTATTTTAACTCGATAAAAAGGATAAACAAACTGCAAGTTGAAACTTGCAATTTGCTTCCTCCGAATCGTAAGTAGTGTACGAAGTCCTTATATGAGGAAGCATTTTCATTTTTTTAATCTTTTTCATCTACTACCCACATCTAATCTCATCTAAATTTTCATCTACTACCCACGATTCAGAGGAAGCAAATTGCAAGTTTCAACTTGCAGCTTGTTTAACATGAGTCCCCATGCCTCTCACAACTTGGGGTGCTTCATACTGTAGAGAGAACGCATGTAAGGATAAATCTCTTGCATGATCTCTTCGGGCCTTATATTTTTGAATTGGATGAAATTCAAAAACTTGAAGATATGTATAATCAGATCCTTTTACCAATCTCCGCCAAATTTGAGACATATCACGGCTAAATGGCTCTATACTTTTCGAAAATTGGAGCTCAATCGGTCAAAGTTGGCGGGAGTTATATTGATAAATTTAATTTTTCGAAAAATTCAAAATATCATAAGATCAAAACTTCTCAATCGATTCGGTCCAAATGCAATACCAACCAACCTTGGATACATATTTATTTGTCAAAAACTATTTTGACGATTATCACAAAATTTGCGATCGCTAGAGTGCGAACGTCTTTTATTTGGAAACTTGAAAATGACATAAATTTTGAGCCACAGCTTGAATCATGACGAATTATAGTCAATGGAGGGATTATACAGCTGCATATACCTGCAAAATTGGGGGGCTGTAGGTAAAACCGTTCTCGAGTTATACACGTTTGAATTTTGGGAGGCCATTACACACATACACACACATACATCCAGACATTTTCTCCAAACGTGTTTTCTTGACGTTTTGGTACATTCTGAACATGGCGACATGAAAATCTCGACAGGAAAATATTCCACCGTCACATAGCTTCCTCTATGAGGAAGCAAAAACATGATCTATGTTTATAATTATGTTGAAAATATTGAAGAAACTAAGCGTACTTACAAGACATTGCATAGCAATCGGTGAAGAACAGCAAAAAGAATGACCTCGGCGACAATTGTCACGTTCCGAGTATCGTTTCTCGTAGTTTTATGTTTTTCTAAACTGCCGACAATCCTCACCCTCCATAAAACTCCGCACCTCGTTGTTCCCTAAATACCGTTTCGTTACCGTTAGTTCCCAACCCTAAGAAAACATTCTATTCATATTTTTCTAATACCTTCCACGTCATACCCTCTATTCCCAAAACCCTGAAAAACTCATACCTTTGCCAATTTCCATTTTGGAGTCCCGTTACTCCCAAACTAGGCTTTCCCGCCTTTCGACCCCTACCCTACACCACTTCTATTAATATAAAAGGACGAACCTTCCCTAAGAAAAAGTTATTAGTAGTCTGGACTTTGTATACGACACCTCTGTCTATCGTGAAATACATATATTCTGTGCACAACCTGAACGACGGTTTCTTTACTGAAGAAACCCACCAATATTTCCTGGAACCCACAACAAATGCAAATTCATTGATCTACGATCACCGAGTCGGATCGTAACAACTGGTGGCAATGGTGGGATCTGCCAGGAAAATTGGGACATCGTCGAAAAAAAAGCATCTGCAAAATTCTTGGGTACCGAGAAAACGTCAATTGCGGAATCTGACCAATTACCGGGACGAAGAAGGACCAAGACAACCCACGACTGGACGATTGGAGTACGTTAAGGACGAGCAAGAAGCACTTCAGCATCAACTCCGTGGATGATCAACACGTGAAACGGTCAAGATATCAATGTTTAGCAGTTCTCCGAGGATGAAACTGTGGCCAATATTATTATTGTAAGTTATAGAATACTAAGACACTAAGAAACAGATATTTATACTGAAAGATTTATGAACATTATACTGAACAATTATACTGAAAGAATTAGAGTAAAACGGATAAAAAAACACATAACGACGTCGTTATGTCTTCAAACGAAACAGCAAGGGCCAATAATACTCATGAGGATTGCAATGCTCTTTCAATTTCATCCGATACACCAAGCGAATATTTTTAAGTACGAGAAAATTTGCCATTATTATAATCCTTTGACGACTATAATATTTCCGGACACTAATTTATCGTCGATTGTAAAGGAATTAGACAGTTAACAAACCCGTCAGACGACTGATTTTTATTTCGTGCAGTTTTACAAACTAAACTAACGAAACAGGCACTTTCCATAAGGCTACGACATCAGATAAATAATTTCAAGCAACTATATGATATTTTACAAAATGAATTTAGTCATCAGATTAGTTCTAAAAATTGGGAAGCAGCCGTGAATCAGTTAAAACAAGATAGAAATTATTCGAAAAGAGCACGAGCTCTTCTAACAGAAATTAGGACCGTTGTAGCTACCTATTCCGAATCAGCAAGGGCTGGAATCGAGTTAATTTCAAGCGAGAAACTAATAAATAATTTCACAGGGGGACTGTATTCGAATAACCGACAAACACTCAGTCAACAATTTTATTCTTTAGAAGAAGCTATTAATTCCGCACGTACACTTCGGATACAAATGAGTTACCACGAAAATAGGTCAAAGCTATACGAAACAAATAAACGACTTGATTAATCATGCAATTATTGCTGGAAACAAGGACATGTTGAACGAGAGTGTAGGACAAAAGCATATCACTCGAGAAATCAGGGACATTAACAGATATACTGGAAATTGAAACTCAAGAAATAACGATCAATATACAAATCAAAGCTTTAGACGAGAGCATAATAACGAATCATATAATTCTCAAACGTTTGATCAAAGAAGACCATTTGAGAATCAAAACCGGTATCCTAGGCGCGATTACAATCAACCTCCAGATACAAGATATAATTCACGTAGCAGTAATCCGTATCTAAATAGAAACGACCGTTCAAGTAACAATTCAACTCAGAATCTTTTAAACTATCATGGGCAAACGACCAGCACGTATCGTAAGGGCCAAAAACCAAATCGTGCATTCCCCATCAACACGACAGAGACAGAGACAGATACGAACGAGCCTACTCAGTCTCCACAAAGTCAAGAAACCTCATCATCGTTCCATTCAAGGAGTTGCTCAGACCCGAAGGAGAATTCTTGCTAGACACAGGAACCGATATCAACATTATAAAATCAAACTCGTTATTATCTCACACACTATTCTATCCGGACGATAAAATTCAGATTCAAGGAATAACCGAAGAATCAACCTATACATTAGGGGCATTCTACTTAACATGTGAAACATGAGTTCACAAATTTTACGTTGTTCCCAAATCGTTCTGATTAGAACAACAAGGTATCATAGGATCCCCATTCTTTCGGCAGGAGAGAGCTAAAACAAACTTTGAATCGCAAAAGGTGAAAATAAGTAACGGTAGGCAGCTAGTTCTAATATACAGTAATACGGTGACTATACCAACTAGGAGTATTAATGAAATAACAATATACACACAAAAAGAGCATGAGGATACAGCAATAATCAAAGAACAAGAAGGAACTTTTCTCGTAACTAACATGGTACAGATTAAATACGGACAAGCTTTTACATACACGTACGTCGTAAATACCAAAAAAACCGAAGAAACACTAACGATCCCTGTTGTCAATGTTGAGTCAGTCGATACCCCCACGAGCCCGAGGGATAGCTCAACTTTCAACATCTCGTCAATTAATTGTGAAAATATGCAAGAACGTGTAAATTTACTAAAAGAAAACGTACGACTAAATCATTTCAATATCGAGGAACGTAGCTGTTGGAGCCATACTCTCATATCCTTAAACCAAAAAGCTTGCCGTACGATCCATTCGGTCTTATTCACACCAAAATGTCCACGCTCATGCGCTAGACGAATCACTTGCGATTGCGTATCCTTAGGTACTAAGATTAAAACATCACTATATGAGTACAGGTCCACTCGCAAGGGCTGTCTTCAATGCCGGCCTGGCTATCTTTGCATACCCTTGAATAAATTTTCGGAAGTAGCCAGTCAATCCTAAAAAGCTCTGTACCTTCTTAACCGTCGTTGGCTTAGGGAAATTGGCGACTACTTTAGTTTTAATTTCGGATGGTCTAACGGTTTCTTTTGACACAATGTGTCCCAAATACTCGATTTCAGTTTGTAAGAATCGGCATTTTCCCCAGTTAATTATTAGTTCGTGCTGTCTTGCAACTTCTAATACCTCCTTTAACCGCTCCATCGCATTTTCTGTACTTTTCGCAAGAATAATCACATCGTCCATGTAAATTACTACATACCTTTTACTGATCATATCCTTTAAAACGGTCATGATAAATTTTTGAAAAACGATCTGTGAAATACTCAGTCCGAATGGCGTTCTCATAAACTCATATTGTCGAACTCATATTGATTAACGGTAGTGGAAACCGTGGTCTTACGATCATTTTGTTCAAACTGCGATAGTCAACGCACACTCTCTTTGAACCATTCTTCTTTTTTACTAAAACTATAGGGCTTGCATATTCGGAATTCGACGGACGGATGACGCCTTTATCAATCCACAGCTTCATCAGATCATCGACTTCATTTTTTTCCGATTGTGATAATCTTTGCGGTCTACTTACAACGGGAACATCGCTTTTCAGTACTATCTTTGTCTTAATGCCTACGTCATGCGTCTTTTCTGACACATAATCCGAAATCAACTTTCCGATCTCTTCACGGTAATGAGCTTCTTTAATGTGAGATAAGTCAACTGTCTTCTGTCAATAAGTCAATAAGTCTTCTGTCTCGTCTACTACATTGATTCTGCTAATATGCGGTCTGTCGGGATCGTCCGCGTTGGTACTTTCATCGCCAAGTTTGAGAAATGTCACGATTCCACGCTTCACGTGGAGCTTTACGCGGTCAAGAAAACCAGTACCCAAAATGATACCGTGTCTTGTAATCGAATCTTTCACAACATGAAGAGTAACGACAAATTCGTCATCCCCTACAGTCATCTTAGTGGTAAACTTACCTAGTGTTGTATTAACGTCAGAGCCGAGGCCTTTGAAACATACCTGGCAGCTCTTTAACGGTGGTGATCCCATCTGTTCATACTCTACCAGACGCATTACTGTAAGATCACTAAGTGTATCAACTAAAGCTACGATCTTACAGTCCTCTAATTGCACTTCTTTCTGATATTTTCTTTTCTCTGGACGCGACACAACATACACTTCCTTCATTATTGACGGGCAATTCGCTGCGATATGCCCGTACCCGTTGCACTTAAAACACTTCGTGCCCTTATCCTTTTCTGGGCTGTCTACACCTAGATGGTCCTTCACGCTACAATTAAAGCAGTGCTTCACTTTTGCTGCTGCTCCAGTTCCGCTCGTTCTCTTCTTATCCTTGCCGTCGGTGCGTACTGCCTTTTCGTCCTTCCGTTCGAATGAATTGGTTTTCACTTTCGCCATTTCTCGCTTCATATTATCGCACTGTACGAATCGCTCCTTCAAATGTTTCACATTTTTAGCGCCGTAAAGGATTTCCTTATGAGAAGAGTAGTCAGGTATCCCTTCGATGATATACAATTGTATCACCGCACGCGTTTCAGTCCTTGCTTGGGCAGCGATTTCAAGCATCTTGTACGTATATTCTTGATACGTTTCATCTGCTCTTTTCTTCTTTTGCTCAGCTTTCGGTAGACTGTCCACTATTTCTTCGAATTCTTCTTTCCGAGCTTTTTCAGATTACTCCATGTTTTGGCACATCTCTCGTATCTCACGAACAACTTTGCTGAACCCTCGAGCAGTCTTTTTGCATATGCTAATTTTTGGACATCGTTCCAACCGCACATCGATGCCATTTCTTCGAAGTCGTTCAGCCACCGCTGTACTTTTAAATGGCCATCGCGGCTACATTTTTCCAACGAACCTTCCACGTCTTTAAATGTCAATGTTACCTGTTGAGGCGCCTGTCTCCGTCTGCGTATCACTGGTGTTACATGGGCATCTTCTTCTTCACCATCTTCTTTGTCGTCTTCGTTTTCGTCGTAGTTGTATTCGTCGGCAGCGACTTCTTCGTTGCGATGACCGTTTCCATCATTACGATCACCATCTCCATTTGCGCTACAGTCGATAACTTCTTCGTCGTCTTCTGAGTCGTCGTCCTTACCTTCTATTTGCTTTGCAATTCTTATTCGCAATGAAAATACATTCTGCAACAGGACCTTTTGAAGATTGAGGGGTTAAATACTTTGAAGAATAAGGATAATGGAATAAAGTCAATAATTTATGTTATATAATCTATTTTTATTTACTCTTCATACAATTTTTCTATGCTTTAATTTAGGGCATACAGTCATCTCAGGTAAAACTATAATCTTAACGCTCGAGTAAACTATTTACTAACTCGTGTATCGCTAATACTACTAATTCTGTGGAGAGATGATTAAATATGCAATGCGAACCAAGAAGATCCGCTACAGTGCTATGCGTGATATTCGAAATTTTACCGCTTTCAAAAGCCCCTGTAATCTCATTCAAAAAACTATTACGAGTACGTATCGTAATAGTATAATGATCATCAGCGAGCATTAGATAGGAACATATACACGATTCTAATTTTAAAAGTTTTTCAAAACACTGCCTCTTAAAAGCAATACTATTTTTCCCTGATGTTATTTTTATTGCGCGGTCACCATATAATTCACATAATATAATATTACAATTTGCGAGGGGTATCGTAGACCATTACTTTTTGTAACAATATCTATAAAATGGGCTATGAATTTCTCAGAGTGATCGAGAAGAAGTCGCCAATCCAATGGTAGAAGCGTAACGGCATCCTCTCTACACCCAAGGAGTTGTAAAGTCGGTTGATATCCATTGTGAATGTCTAGCGCCACGACGATACGCTTCTGATTGTTTAAGTTGTATACAGGTTGCCTCATCAGCAATAGTGATGGTTTTGGAACGAGTGGCGAAGTAGATGTAGAAGGCGTGGCATTCACATCCGTAGATCTTTTAAGCGACATCCTGTTTTCTCCTTCGTTAAGTGCTACGACTAAACATTTGCTCGCTCGCAGTCTTGTATCGTGGAAACCAAGTGGGAAAGTATTTATAGATGGTACCGAGGTACCCGGAGCGAATATTATTGATTTAGTTAACGATGCTATGAGAAGTAGAAAGAACTCTAATCCAATCGGATGGGAACAGCTTGTCGAAGTATACCATAAAGGTAACATACCGCATGAGGTTATAGGAAACTCAAAGATATTGAATTATATTCGCATGAAGAAACAGCTCGAGGTGTCGGGAATTGAACAAATTGAGCGCAGTGATTCGGATGTGGGGATAAAATTTCACAGTAGTACACCTCAGCGACATCAGCCCTTGAAAAAAAAACGGACATCTACACCCGCTAGTACCAAGGGACCATCACGATCGCCATCTCCAGATCGAACACCCGGTAGAGTTCTTGCAAGATCATCACCACGAGGCTTCGAAGGGAAGCGGAAGTATCGTACAACACCATTAGTAACACCACGAGAAATTAAACAACGAAAATATAGCCCCAACTACGAAACTTGGAAGACCTTGAAACTAATGCAAAGGAAATGCATGTACAAATGCAAAGTACGCATGGGTAGTTCCGCTAAAAGATAAAACAAATAACTCTATAATCGCAGCATTTAAACATATTTTTGAGGATAATGAACGCAAGCCTGAAAGTCTGCAGACCGATAAGGGAAAAGAATTTGTTGGACAGAAGTTTCAGATATTTTTTGAAAATGAAAATGTATATTTTTATACTCCAAAGAATCCTGACGCGAAAGCGAGTTTAGTTAAACGTTTTAATAGAACTCTTATGGAAAAACTATACAAATATTTCACACACAAAAATAGTCAACGATATATCGATGTAATTCAAGACCTGGTTAAGGGCTATAACGCATCTATACATTCAACGATACGTATGAGACCGAAAGATGTTAATTTATACAATGCAGTCAGAGCTTATATAAAAATGACGAGTAAATTTTTAACTCATGATTTGCGTCCTAAATTTAACGTTGGTGATACCGTAAGAGTTTCTAAAGAAAAAGGAATATTCGATAAGGGTTATCAAAGCAACTGGACCGAGGAAATATTCAAAGTGGTGCGCATACTTAAACATCGACGGTCTATTGTATACGCATTGGAGGATCTTGCCGGTGAAATAATTACCGGTAGTTATTACACTGAGGTAATAAAAGGGATATTAGGGTAATTAGGGATTTAGGATAAAGGGCAATAAAAGACATATTCCTTATAGATATAATCATTGACTCAAAGGGAAAGGTCGTAGTCGACAAGTGTTAGTCGAGTGAAAGGGGTATCCCTCAAAGTTCAATTCTTGGATTTTAGCCGATAGCATAAAACATGGAAGTATATGAAAGCTTCTATCTAACACTATGTTCGAATAGTTCAACGTCTGACTATTCAGAAAACACAACAACACGATTCACTGCACAATTGCCTGATGCCATTAATTTGAAAGGTGAATGGTAAGCAGCTCTAGTTGAAACTCAAATACCAATAACTTTCATTGCTATCAAAAATAGTCATATAGGTTAAACCGATGTGACGCCAGCGGTAAAAGAACCTCAAAAGCCTGAGAATACTAAGACTCAGAAGGGGAGTTTTCAAAAAGGTGATGAACTTGAGAAAATTTCGCATTCTCAGACAGAAAACACTGCTAAGGGCGGTGGTATTAGGAAAAATATCACGTCAGTACATTTGTTACCCAGAGGAGAGTTAGAAAATATTCAGAACTCATCACAATCTATTAAAAAAGATAGTGTTCAAACGATGAAGCCTGAGACTAGGAGAGAGACTATCCATTTTTTTCGTTTTTTTTTTTCGAGATCACACAAAATTGAAGTATTCAAGAATGAACGGCGTGTGTGTGTTTATGCATAGTCTGCAAAAGTTATCCACAGACGCACATTCTAGAGTTTCCAGAAGACCTCAGCAAAATATTAGGATTTTCAATTTCAACATTCGTCTTAAGTCCTACAGGCATCAACTTTGTAAAAGCAGAAAACCCTGGCTGGATCACTCGAAGATTGCCGGGTCAGCTCTTATTATATTTAGACATCATTCTTCCCCATGTAGTCAGCGATATTCATGCTCTGCTCTTATGCATTGTCGAATGTGACGCTCAAACACATCCTTTTGGGAGTACCCAGTCTAAGACTTTCGCCATGCCTCATTACTACCCGATAATTGGTGGTCCAATTCAATCAATCGAAACTGTTATAAGCGATCACGCTGGTAGGCCAGTGCCATTTGAATACGG